GATCCCTAATTTTTTTGGAAATATAATATAGTCTATGATACTCAGGGATAGTGTAGCTTCCTAATGGTGAAAGAATTTTTCAAATCAGTCCAGTAGTTTCTGAGCCTATTCAATACAAACGAACAAACAAACTTTTCCTCTTTATAATATCACTATAGATATACTTTAAACTCGTTAATAACATTAATAACGTTCATGCATGGAACATCTACCATCTCTATCTCTTGGTAACTGTAACATTTGGGGTGAGGTATAGCTTGCGTGACCTACACTTTCGGATCTACTACATCGAGCCTTGTCGCTCGGGCTTTATTGATGTGCCTCCATCTTTCCCTATTCAACTGACTTGTAGATTTCCTTTTTGCTTTATAGGCTTTGTTTTGATTGCATTCATATTTTTCTAAGGTTGATTTTGTACAAACTCGTCTATATAGACTAACTGTATCCGTGACTTCGTCCGCGTGGAATTTAACATTAATTTTCTAAAAATGAAATATTTTTTCTAAAATAAAAGTACCTCAAGTTACTCCTTATTACATCAACTACCTGCCAAAAAAAGTCCCGTCAAAGTCGGTCCAGCTATTTCAGAGATTAGCCGGAACAAACAGACAGTAAGACAAAAATTGTAAAAAAAAATTATTTTGGTGTATGTACCGTATTTATATTGATATCCATGTAGTAAAAAACGTTTATTTCAATATTACAAACATACACTCCAATTTTATTTATATGTTTAAATAAACTTAACGCCCTTGGTGGTCTAGTGGTGATCCACCGACCACTTCCGATGGTCCTGCATTCGATTCTTCGCAGGGTACATTTGTATTCATGAGTATGATTGTATGTATCAGTCTGGGTATTTTGTACATATACCATTAAATATATATATATATATATCAATCAGTTGTCTAATACCTAGCACGGTACATTTATTTCTATTCAGAAGTATGATTATACTTTCTTTTTTATTTTTTTTTAATAATGGGTTTGCGCTTGGTCTTACCTCATCTGATGGTAAATGATGGTAAGACCTAGGATGTAGCGCGATTTACTTATCTTCTTTCGATTTACGATCTTATGATTATGTGTCTGGGTGTTTTCTACATGGTAAGGGTAATCATCTAATATCCACAACTTAGTTTAAGACTAGATGGCACTGTGTGAATTGTCAAAAATAGCTAACATTATTAAAATTTACAAAAATAACTTTAACCAAGTCGTTGTAATATAGATTGACAATTATTTCAGATCACAAAGAGCGTTCATTCATTCATAATTTAAGAGCTGTGCTCTTGTCGGTGGAGCTCCCGCCACCTTCCACAATCTTCTATCAGTCCTTTTAGCTGTTGATACGACACGACTCCAACTTTTTCTTTAACTTGCTTGATATAGCTGTGTCTCGGTCTGCCCCTTCCTCTCTTTCCATCTATTTTTGCTTCAGTAATGTTATTAATTAGTTCGTCGTGTCGTATCAATTGCCCCAACATTTTTCCCCGCTGGCTGGTAAAAATAAGTTATGAATAAATAAACAGGGTTTTCCATTTGCTATTTAATAGAAGCCACAATCCGATATGACCTATCATTCATTTTATAAAATTAGTGTCGAAAAAGTTAGAATATTGTTCTGGAAATTTCTACCTGCAAATCAAAACCCGTAGGCGGACGGAGTCCAAGGTTGATAATGAAGAATTAAAGGCTATTGTGGAAGCGGACCCTCGCAAACCACGTCAGAGTTAGCTGCAGGCTGCGGTGTTAGTGACAAAACTCTATAATATTATGCAAGTTCTGAATATATTATTGTATCGCAATTTATTTAAATACTAGCTACATACCCCGGCTTCGCACGGATGTACATGTATTATACATATAAACCTCTTGAATCACTCTCTCTATTAAAAAAAACCACTTCAAAATCCGTTGCGTAGTTTTAAAGATTTAAGCATACATAGGACGAACAGCGACAGCGACTTTGTATTATACTATGTAATGATAACACTGCATATATTTCATTCATTCAAATGTATATAATTATATATATAATTTATAGCCTATGTGTTATTCTGTTGTATAAGCTGCGTATATTACTGTAAAGTTTCATTAAAATTCGATCAGTAATTTTTGAAAAAGTAACAAACAACCATCTATAGGCACAAACTTTCGCGTTCATAATAATGCATTATAGAATATTACACCGGATGCGCTTCAGGTCGTCCCGTTTGGTATAAATCGTGCATTGGAATATGATTCTATGAAATATAGATAAAGAATATCAAAAGAGCAATCTAGTGTATGAAGAGTCGTGACTCATTAAGAGAGAAATTCAAAGAGGCAAATATTCTCACCGTTGCTTCTCAATTTATATATTCAAATATCCTATATGTTCATAAAAATCTTGACTTATTTCCAAAAAACAGCAATATTCATAATATTAATACTAGATTTAAAGACAAACTTGCTGTCCCCAAGTATCGTTTAGAAAAAGTTAATAGGTCTTTTATGGGAATAGGTATAAAAATTTACAATAAAATACCAAAGGATATGTTGGAATTACCTTTAAATAAATTCAAAACTTCTGTTAAATCATATTTACTGAGCAAAGCCTATTACTCACTAAACGATTACTTGAATGACGAGTATGCATGGCAATAGTTGTTCATGCACTGAATTTTCATTTAATGTTAGACATAGACACCTATATAAAAATACATTGTAAATAAACTGGCTTTAAAAAAAAAGTAATTCAATTGAGTTTCTTGCCAGTTCTTCTCAATTGGATCTATATACCAAACTGGACGGTAGGGAAAAAATAAAATTATAATGTAAAAATTTGACGTTCATAAGCGGCTAAAATGTCCTACATGAATAAATGTTTTTTTAATTCGAATTTGAATTTCAAAAAAATATTCATATAGGACATTTTAGCTCATTAACGTGTTAAATTTTTATACCACGTTGGTGGCAAGCAAGCATAAGGCCCATCTGATGGTAAATGGTCACCGTAGCCTATGAACGCCTGAAACACCAGGGGTATCACTTGCGCGTTGCCGACTTAAGAAACCTTAATATACCCTTTTTGAAAAACCCCATGCTGTAGTCTCGTGGGAAAACCTCGGCAGGAAGTTCATTCCACAATCTAAGTGTACACGGGAGTTTATCCTTCAGCACTTCCATGCAGAAAGCAATTAGTAACATTTTTCCGTAATAAAGTTCTCTTAAAAAAATATTCAAATATTTTTCTTACTTCAATTAAAAGTTGTTGATCAAATTTACTTTTTAATTCTCCGAACATTAATTTCGAATCTTGGTGTCAACTTAAACAGATGATAGCAGAAATGAAAGGGGAATATCTTATTTAACAGAATAAAATATAATGAGTGTACTCTGAAAGAGAGACGAACTTCTGCCGAGTCCAGCAGAGGAAACTTCGAGCAGTTCCGGGACTTGTGACCCGGGGGTAGAGTTAACGGACTCTTGTCCGATGTACGCCAATACTCACTTACAGTCTAGTGGTTTAGCACACCGACTTTCTTCCTATGATCGCGGTTTCCATTCCTGACACGATGCATTTGTAGTCATAAGTAGGATTGTGTCGGTCTTTTCTATGTATCTAAATATATATACATAAAGGTGTCTGACTGACATAGTGATCTATTAACGCACAGCCCAAACCACTGGACGGATCGGGCTGAAATTTGGCATGCAGGTAGATGTTATGACGTAGGGATGCTAAAAAAGGATTTTGATTAATTCTACCCCTAAAGAGATAAAATAGGAGATGAAAGTTTGTATGAAACTTTGTCAATTTTAAACCGATCGGGCTGAGACTTTGCATGCATAAAGCTATTATGACGTAGGCATCCCCTAAGAATGGATTTGATAAATTCCACCCCTAAGAGGATAAATTAACGTGAGCGAAGCCGCGGGCAAAAGCTAGTAGTATATATGAAGTTAGAAAACAAATATGTTTTGTACAGTTGTCCAGTACTCATAACACATGCTCTGCTTACCTTTGGATTATATGGCGCTGTGAGTTGTTATTATTTTTAGGTTTAGTTTATTTCTACTCTACTCTAATTGTTAGGGAAAATACTATGTGCGGAAGCGTCTGTCTCGTACCTGTATGCTCTTGAGAATTTCATGGGCTTCTTAACATAGGCCGGTGTCTCGATGATATGTTCGTTAGATTTCACAGTTTTCAGTAGGTTTCACACTAAGTTTTAATTAATTTTATTTTAGCAATGCGCGCGCGTTTCGGCGGCGATCTGTTTTCATATGTGTGCCTACACTTGTAATAATTCTGTCTACACTTGAGACCCTTCCAATAGTTTAAGTCTCCACTAACATAGATGTAAGTTAAGTGTAAAATCAGTCTACGTCCCGACTCCGCATCGACTGTACGCGTTGTTAATAAACCATATAGCACACTACCAATAAACTTAATAATGTCTAATAAATAGTACAATCATTTTACTGGTATACTCACTACCTACATACTACAATAAATAATATATAATGCAGCGCCACCTCATCACAACATATATACCACTACAGTGATGAGGACAACCACCCCCTTCCGATCGATCCAATACAAACGGGGACCGATGTTACGACGGCCTGAGCCGAGGTTCGAACCCCTAGCGGTGCCCTCAGACTAAAGTCGTATCCGTCAGGCGGGAGTTGGCCTTCAGCCGCTCCATAAGTCCTTCCGCAAGTTTGGAGTGCCATCAGCACTCGCCCCCTACCGTGCGGTGAAGCTGTAAAGGCCAGCTGCGGCCGACAGCATTAGAGTAGTCCGAAAAAAGAGGATAACCACCGCACTACATAGGTAACGGGGGAAGCGTGGGAACAGAAACTAATGGACTCCAAAAGAATAGTTTGTGCTTACCGCTGGTACAGGTAGACTTTGAACACTAATGTTACTCTATTCTACATTATTCTGTTCTATTTTGTAAAATGTGTAATAAATTTCTTGTTTCAGATGCTGAAAACGTAGCCAATTAGTATGTCAAGAGGGCCAGACAAGTATTTTTGACAAGATGGCGCGGACTTTGTTCACAGTGACCATACTTACTGCGGTAACGGTAAGTCCTGTTTATTATTATTTTAAGAAGATTATCAGTGTAATTTTACATGTTACTGGTCATATTGAATCTTCACTAATAGTATTACCACAGACAACATAATACATTACATACATTAAATAAAAAATTCTCATAATCCAAATTCAATAATCCGATATAATATACGTTACAGTGTCACCGTTATATAATACAAATAAACAGACAAACATATCCATAAATAATGATATATCTACAGAGCATACAGATAAAGTTCAGCTATGCAATTAAAGAATTGGTGACATATAAGTTTTCTGAGACAGTTCTGGAACAAAACAGGCCGATGTCATGTGGCTAAGATTCTGGAATAAAATAATATTGCGACTATAAATTGAGATATAAGCTATCCTATCTTTCAAGTTGGATCTAATGTAATAAATCACACAATGTGCATATCAAATTTGCAATCGGTTCAGCAGTTTAGGAGTCTATCGCGGTCAAATAACGTGATACGTATTTTATTTATATAAAGATGTATAGCAGTTTGCAATCACACAATATCTTGAAAATGTAATGCTGAACAACATTTATTTAAATGAGTACACACGAGTTTCTTGTTACGAAAGACACGCAAGTTTCTTGCTCGTTCTTCTTGTTATGTATCTTTCCGAATGATCTGTAGAATAAAAAATAGTAAATGTTTATTCAGAAGTAATATTTAGTTTCAAGTAAACTTCATATTCAGGTTAATGTCACCAATTTCCTCCAAGTTGAAAACTTCCTAATCCTTTCCTAAAAAATATATCTAATGGTTTTTTTTTAATAACAATTTATTTTTACGAGGCTTCACCTCACCGGAATTGGATGATCATTCATTCTCATTCGAAAGCCTGACTTTGACTAGCCTCCATAATACAACGATCTTAAACATTTTGTTTTCAACCTAAAGGAAATGATAAACGAAATCAGGCATTGGCTAGTCTATTCTGTTTTAAAATATTTTTTTTTACTTATAGTATTTAATCCATCTTAAATTGTCGAAAATGAACCAAAACTGCAAGACTTCAATACTCGTACGCTCACTGACGAAGCGGAACATCTGACCTGACATAAAATTGAGCTGTTTTCAGCAGTATATTGGTCGAAAATTGTGAGCTTAAATCGAATAAAATGTATCTACAATGTTACTATTACATTATAATATAACTATTTTTAGATATCAGTCTGTATAGAATAGAATAGAATCATAAATAATTATTAAATCACACATCACAACACAATAATAATGATGCTGACAGCAGCATATAAATTATTATATAAAACAAACGTAAATAAAAACAATGCATTAAATTAGAGATGAAATCGTTATATAAAAAAAATAAAAAAAACAACATTAAAAAATCAGCACTGTGCAGCGTACAGGTAGCGTAGGCACGACCATCATGCTAAATGTCTTTGTTAAGTAAGAAAATATACATAGAAGATGTTGTTTGGGATAAAAGAGACGAGAGAGAGAGAGAAGACCTGTACTAACAGCAGTCCGGTATCTGTAAGAAAACTGAAATAAACGACTGGACGACCAGGACAGATGTGCCTGGAGAAGAAGGACTAGGATAGCCCCAAATGGAAATAAGAGAAGGTGAGACAGAAAGAGATGTAGAAAATTGTGCCCCAAATGAAATGAGAAAAGGCTAGGCAGAAAGAGATATAGAAAAATTTGTGTGAACACAATACAATAGCTACTTGAGTAACAAAATAATGGTTTAGAAGATGTAAGCGGGAATACAAACTTACTGTTACAGATTACTCAAGAATATACCTTATACTTACTAACAATATGATTGATTACAAAGTTTTTGTCTAATTGATTGAATACTTTGTATAATGTTAAAGCAATAACTTATTCAGTTGATCGACTCTTTGCTATAGTGGTTTTGCTATAGCCTTTTTACTGATGTTCCGAGTTAGATTCGACACCTACAAACATTATTATTTATGGTTATATTAATAATATCTCAGGACAATTCACATATTGCCATTTAGACCCAAACTTTGTTAGCGTTATAGGTACTAAACTGTTATAAATAAATAGGTACTTGTTTTTTGGAAATATATATATTACACACATAGAAAACACTAGACCAGTTCAGGGGAACCAATGGCACGCGTGCCATTGACGGCACGCGATACAATATTTTGGTCACGTCGTCGATCATAAAACTGTTTGAAGAAGCTGGCTCATGCTATTTTAACAATATTTTCACCTACCTATGCCTATGCCACCTACCTATGAATAACATTAAAAACTCGGTTAGAAACCGTTTGACAGATGAATCCAGTTCAGCCTGCATTTTGCTAAAAGTAACATCGTACAAGCCTGACATATATTATTTGTCATCTAACCTGCAGCAACAGAAGTCACACTAATTTTACAGTAATTTAATTTATGCGTGTAACGAAAACAATACAAAATGTACCTCTTTTGTTTACTTTATTTCATAGACAGTTTTGATAGTATTTCATCATCATCATCATTGCCTTGCCTTTATCCCATTATTTGGGGTCGGCGCAGTATGTCATTCTCTTCCACTGATCTCTATCAATCGTCATATCTAAACATACTCTTCTTTTATTCATATCATCTTTCACACAATCCATCCATCTTTTCTTGATAGTATTGATAGTATTTATTATTATTATTTTCCAAATGCAATCAGAAAATCAAAATTATTTGATGGCACGTCAATGACCCCATTAAACATTTTTTGGAAAAATTGGCACGTTGATGCATAAAGAATCGCCTACCCTACACTAGACCGTTATTAACAATCATGCTCATGAATACAGAGTGTTCATACTGTGCGAAGAATCAAACTCGCGACCATCGCAAGTAAGATGACATATGCTAGACCAAGGTCATCAACAAATAGTAGAAGAGAGTCAAAAGCACAAAGTCCCGGCACACCTTCAAGATTATTGAACACAATCTACTGCTAACTGCTAGCGTATTAGATTTGTTTTCGATTTTGTATTCACTCATTTTTTCTCTTTCTACAAAAAAAAAAAAATCGGCTTACTCAAAATTGTAAAATATATATTATTAACTAGCTACTCGCCCCGGCTCCTCCCAAGTATACATATATTGTATATATAAACTTTCCTATAGAATCATTCTATCTATTAAAGGTTTTTTTTAAAGAATAGTAGTTTTAAAGATTTAGGCATACATAGAGACAGACAGCGACAGCGACTTTACTTTTTTTTGAAGTCAATATTTAAAGCAACTTTGGGTTTCATTTGAAACTCCGAGGTGTTAGCAAAGATAAAAAAGAACAGAAGAATTTCTACCAAATCACATCAATATTCAATCAATAGAATTATGATTCAATTTTTATTAAACGACATTAAAAAGGAGAAATTAATCATTTTACTGCCCGTAAATTTGCTTTCTAATTACGCAACGATGTCAATTTTGCATTATTAGCCGCCACCACTTTTGTTTACATAATTTTCAGTTTGTGATTGAAATGTGAATTGTTAATTACAACTTTGCGCCAGTTTGTCGGTGGACCGGGGAGTGTATGAAAATTTAATGATGTTGAAGTTTGTTGATCGGGTTATGATAGTTTAGAACCGACATGCTGTACTGCGCGGAGTTACCTGCTCATATTAGCTACTCTCTACTAATGGAGCTTTTTATATGTGAAAGAATTTAAAAAATCGATTAATTATTTTTCTAGTTCGTTCAGTCCAAGAGTTTTAAAAATCGGTTACTTATTTTTCTAGTTCGTTCAATCCAAGTGTTTTAAAAATCGGTTAATTATTTTTCTAGCTTGTTCAGTCCAAGAGTCTTATAAATCGCTTAATTATTTTTCTAGTTCGTTCAGTCCAAGTGTTTTAAAAATCGGTTAATTATTTTTCTAGTTCGTTCTGTCTAAGAGTTTTAGAAATCGGTTAATTATTTTTCTAGTTCGTTCAGTCCAAGTGTTTTAAAAATCGGTTAATTATGTTTCTAGCTTGTTCAGTCCAAGAGTCTTATAAATCGCTTAATTATTTTTCTATTTCGTTCAGTCCAAGTGTTTTAAAAATCGGTTAATTATTTTTCTAGTTCGTTCAGTCCAAGAGTTTTAAGAATCGGTTAATTATTTTTTACCACCATCAAAGGGACCACCAGTATATGCTGTTGAAATTTTGTTAAAAGCAAATTATGTAATCAGTGTTTGTAACCCGAACAGACCATTCCCCACATGCGTACCACAAGGTATAATTGTATATTAAATTATAAATATTATAACTACAGTGTCTATTCAGATAAGCTGAGCCGTCAGCTTGTTTGCTAGTCTAAATACAATAATCAAATCCAGTACTTTTTCTTTGTAATATTAGTTCAGATTTTCCTATAACACAGAATAAATTCAAATTGTAATCGTAGAAGATTTAGTACGGATTACCATCATTACATAGTATAAAACAAAGTCAGCTATCGCTGTCTGTCCCTATGTATGCTTAAATCTCTAAAACCACACAATTTTTAACCGTTTTTTTTAATAGATAGAATGATTCAAGAGGAAGGTTTATGTATGATACATGTACACGCGTGCGAAGCCGAGGTGGGTAGTAGATTGATAAAAAAGAAATATATATTAATAGGAATAAAGAAAATAACAATGCACCGATGTTCAAAGATATATATATATAATTAAATAAATAAAAAAACAGAACTGAATACGCCCGTTCTGTATAAATTACGTTTAAAAGGTTTCGTTTTTAAAGTGAATTGAAAGTGTTAGTTAGATAACAATGAAAACCCGATTTTAATCACATGAATGTCATGTTAAGTGGCGATAAAACGCTCCATAAAACACTGAATTACGTCACCCCAGAAGTGCACCAGTAAACATTGGCTAATTTGTTTAGTATGCAAATGTGTCCAATGCCTCAATTCGCAAATGTTTGCGCGCCCCAACAGTGCGTAGATATTTAAATGTTAATGTACTTCTATATTGCTCTTTTAATTAAACAAC